TCCTCTTTTACAGAGTCTGCCATGTTGAACTGCCATGTTCTACAGTAGCCCAGAAGGGAAAACCTAACTGTTGAAAAGTAAATACAAGATACAGCTAGTTAAACAAAAGAGGCCAGCTTCAATCGGGGGCAGAGCTTTGACAAAAGGTGAAAAACACAAGATTTCAGAAAACAAATGAACAAAACTAAAAGAAAAAATGCAGTTGGCAGGACACAAACAGACATCAGCATTTTAGAAAACACAAATTCTTTAACACATTGTATGAGGTCAGAGTCTGTTTTTCTCATTGTTACATTATATGTTGATGATAGTCTGTTATAGCTACAAGAAGCAGGAATTAAAAGGTGCTCTCATATATTGTTGAGCAACCAGACTTCACAGTCTGTTATGGGGTACCACTTGTTTTCCTCAAACTTATATCTTGATGAAATAGTTTGTCCACATGTTGTGAAAACACTATAGCAGGGTGCTCATCTGTGAGACAAAGGAAATCAAGCTCAGCCTGGTCATGTGTAAGCATGTGTATCAACCAGCAGAAAAAAAAGATATTTAGCATTCCATTCAATTAACTGTTGCTGATTAAAGGGCAAGAGGTTATGTGTATTTAAAGTAATAATTTAATTTAAATTTTATTCACTGCTATTCATTTCTGGTATCCCGTTCCAGCTTTATCCAATCAGAATGGAGAACGCCACAAAGAGGAGGTCCCCAAGGGTAAGCAGCAGTAAGCAGCAGTGTGGTGACATAGGGAGGAGGGAGAGGACTGCTATCTGCAAGAACGGACAGAAGGGTTAACCAGAATTTTGTGTATTTAATTTATATCTATCCATCAATTTTCTATAACCACTTACCCCCTGCAGGGTAAAGGTGGGCCCTGACAGCACAAGTGCTAAGCACTGATCACTGTACGCCGTGACTGTGTTGACATGGTTTCTAACATTTTCTTTTGCACCTGAGGGCTACTGAAGTTCTACCAAAGTGAAATGTCTAACATAACTGTACATGTACATCTAAAGATTTTCATGCGGTGTTATAATTGTGACATTATTCCTGTAAATTGTCAAGTAGCATATATTTTCTGGAGTCATACATGTGATAAGTTTTTAAAAAAAAAATTTGATGACAAGATTTATTTTAGACCACAAAAAATTTTTATGTAATTATATTTGAGTGCTGTTTGAAATATACTGGTTGTGCTAAAGAATGTATTGTAACAATGTAAATTATTTATAACCTTTTAAAAACATATTGCTTTTGTATATTAGTGTAGCCATTTATACATCAACCAATTTCTGATTTATACAATACAGACATTTGACTGGTTCTATCATATGACAGCATCTGATTATACATTTATTGACAATTGGGTGATTTGAGAACATTTGATTAACAACATCCACAGTAAAGCTTTATTCACATGCACTGTCAGTACTTACATCTATAAAACGTATAACTTTTTTGAAAGTTGTTCTTATTTCATTAAGTCTGTAGTTGAAATGTTCTGTAGACCTATTTCTGTAATGCCTGGACCACACTGTTCACGTGAGCAGCGTGTGTGTGTGTGTGTATGTGTTTTTTTTATTCTGGTGCCCATGTTAACAGATTAAAGTAGCCACAGAGTTTATCGAGCGCCTATTTTTTCCACGACATGCCCGTTCTTGACAATGTGTCACATAAGTGTTCCAGAAGCATCTGATCTGCGCACAATATGCATCTGGATTTTTTTTTACCAAAACTGCAACCCACTCACAGTAAGCAGCACAGAGCAGATCGCACTGGCAGGAAGTCAAACACAGAAATGCGTAGAGAATATAATAAATTTCAAAATGAAATACCGTGTGCAGACTCCAGATTGAATTTCTATACATGCCTGGTGGAATTTCGAGGCTACACCTTTCACTACAGTTAATATATATAGCTGTATAATATGCCACATGAAAAAAACATATTTTTTTAACACTTTATATTTTTTAAATAAACTTTTATTGTGAAATATTTGCAG